GAGGCAACGCGATGCTATGCTATGCTATGATGTGATCTGCCATGCTGAACTACGCGACACAAAGCTACGCCATTTCAAGCAATGCCATGCTTCACCAGAAATACGTGTCACGCCTGCTTGGGGTCGCGCCATGCTCACTGTCTCCCTTCACTCCAAGAGGATGGTTTGGAATGGCGAGGCTGATGAAGCACTGGGCCTGTCCGCAGAGGGCAACACTGCATCACGCGGAACCTTACGAGCCAGGCGATAATCCGCCGACCCTTCGGGGTGTGAGACGCTGTCGTCGTCTTCGTCGTCGTCGTCGCCAGCCCCACGGAAATCGAGGAACGAACAGAAAAAGAAACGGCACAGTTGAGTCGAATCCCTTCCCCTTGCTCCCCTCTCAGACGGGGGGGGGGAGGTACGGGGGGGGGACACAAAGGGGGCCTCGGGTCAGATTACCGCCCCCCCCCCCCCGAATGGTCCCGGCAGAGGCCCCCCTCCCCACCCTGGCCCCCACTGTGGACAGAGGGGACCACCAGTGACAGACGGGTCCCGGGAGGGGGGCGGGTCCCGGGTCAGACTGCCGCCCCCCGAGGGGGTCACCAGCGGGGGTCCCCGGGAGGCCCCGCCTGTGGTGTGGGAGGGCAGTCCCCAGGTCAACATGCCCAGACCCCTGACGCCATGACTTTCATGACGTCGACCCCCAGAGGTCTGGGCCCCCTCCCGCGGGACCGGTCTTTCATCCGGGGTCGTTTTTTGACGCTCCCGAGGCCCGGCAAGGGCCCCCAGAGCCTGAAAACAGCGAAAAATGTCCCGCCGTGATTTTTCATAACTCGAGAGGGTCGACCCCAGATCTGGGTATCGCCCCCCCCGGGGTCCCGGCGGCTCCCGGGGGGGGGGGGGCAGCCCGGATCCTGGGAGGAGTCCCGCCTTCAGGGTCGGCGGTACCAGCCGTAAGGGGCCTTCACAAGATTCGGCCACAGGCGCCAAGTGAGAGAGCAGCCAGTGCAGCATGCTTCCGACCTAACGTTGGCAAGACGACCCTGAAGCTCGTGCAGCGACTCCAAGAGAGAGATCGTCGTCGGACGATGGCATCGCGAGCTCGCGTGCTCCGATCATGGGCTGCCTCGAGAGAGAGAGAGAGAGAGAGAACAACACAAACAACGACTCCAAGGAGGGAAGAAGGAAGAGGGAGGAGGGGGACGCCGTCTGTCCCTTTACAGCCGTTCCTTGCAGGGTCGGTCATCAGCCCAGGATCGTTATCTCTCCCGCTCTCTCTCTATCTCTCTCTCTCTCTCTCTTTCTCTCTTCCTCATTTCCTTCCCCCCTTTCCCTCCCTCCACTCGCACGCCCCCTCCATTGTCCATCTTGTCCTCCTCCTCCTCCTCCCCCTTCTTCTCCTCCTCTTCCTCTGTGTGTTCCTCCTCATCTACCTGTTCTTCCATCTCCTGCTCCCCTCCTTCATGACGCCCACGTCCTCATCCTCATCCTTCTCCTCTTCGTCCTGCCCGTTCTCCCTCATCCCCGCCCCCCCCGTCCGTCCTCCATATGTTCCTTTTCCTTCTCCTGTTACTCCTCCTTTTCCTCATCCCCATCCAGTTCCTCCTGCTTCCCTCCCTCCCTTCATTCATCCCTCTCCATGCCTCCCCGTCCTTCTCCCGCCCTTCACTTTCCCTTCCCCCCTCCCCCCTCCCTCGCTTGCTCGCTCCATCTGTTTGCTTGTCATCCTCCTCCGCCTACTCCTGTGCCTCAACCTCTTCCCTTCTCCCTTCCCCTCACTGATATTCCCCATCGCTCCTCCTCCTACTCCTTCAACTCCTCCTCCTCCTTCTCCTCTTTCTCCTTCATCCTGTCTGCTTCTTCTTCACCCTCATCATCCTCCTCCTCCTCCGCCTCCTCCTCCTACATCCCCCTCCTCTTCCTCCTTCTCTCCTTCCTCCATCCCCATCCTCCTTCTCCTCCCCACCCCTCCTCCTACTCCTCCTCCACCAGATCCTCTTCCTTCCTCGTCATGCCAGAAGTGTTCATGAATCCGACAACCGAGACAATCAAGAACTGATGTCATCGCTGTTGTATCTCTCTCTCTCTCGCGCGCGCTTTCGGACACTGTCTCCTCAATGCGCTCCAACATTGATGCTGGTACTACTATGTGTATGACGGTCGCGATGCAGCTCCCTCGGGTCGAGCTTGACACGACTGTGTGCCTCACAGTCGTGGTGTACAGCCTCTGGGTGAAGGTTGCTACGATTCGGTCTGCGCCGCATGCTGCGCATCTTATCCCTCATTCCGCGCGCCCAGGCGAGGCCTTCACCTCCAGGACACAGCCCGACGGCGGGGCCAGCGGCCCTGCACACATACCACACGCTCACAATCTGTACAGGACAGAGCGTCGGCGCCGTCGGATATGTATCGCGTCTCCTATCTCTTCATTATCGTCCACTGAAACCGAAATCGTCCACGATGTGAGCATTCGACGCTACAGATACTCTGAGAACAGTATCAAAGGAACCATATACACATGTATGTGTCAGATCGCTCCAAGCTTTCTGCTGGTAGTAATCCAACCAGGCATCTGGGCGTAAGTGGCAAAGTGGCATTACATTCCTTTGTCCTGAGCCCCTTTTCCCTGATGGGGAGGGGTACCCTCCCCCTCCTCTCCCTGAGGTGTCCGGGGCCCTGGACGAAGCGGTGCGCACAAGATACGACAAGATGGCTCCAAGAGGGCCGACGATACGTCAGGGTGACCCCCAAAACTGGCGCACGATAGCCAAAGATGGCTCACGATGGCGTCCGAAGTGTCTCCAAGAGGCCCCGTGAGGACCGCGAGACGGCTAAGAGTGCTCTCGGAGACCCCAGCAGGGCTTAGGTCGCCCACAAGAAGCCAAAGTCCTTCAAAAACTTATGTGCAAATATGAATGGTGTTGGGTCGGGCATGTCCTCCTACAGGCGGATTCTGGAAGACAAAAATTCAATTAGTCGAAAGCACGCACAAAAAAATCACACATAGTCGAAAATTCGTCCTTCGTTGCACGGGCGTCTGAGGCCGCAATGTGGCCCCGAGCAGGCCCAAGGAAAAGCCTCACAAGGAGCCCAAGAGAGGCCCCCAAGATGGCCCCTAAGAGCGATCGGGAGCGCGCAGAGCACACCAGGAGCGCACCAGGAGGCGCGTACACGTCGGTCGGAAGAAGTAAGCAAAAACATGAAGTAGGAAGGCGGAATAAATTTTATTGGGTCCAGGCACCCTCAGGGAATAACAAAACATAGCAAAAGCGTGTCAATTCTTGAAGTAGGAAAGCGCTTGAAGTAGATTGGGATCTGGGAATCCAAAAATACCTACCTTCAGCGACCCGCGTGTATGAGCGCTCCCGAGGGGTAAAAGGAAATCGGAGGGCCCGCCCCCCTTCTTCTGGCCGACGCACGACCAGATGGCACCAAGAGGCCCTCCAAGGCTCCCAGGAGGCCTCCACGAGGGCCCCCAAAGGTCCCCGAGAAGGCCCCGAGACACCTCAAAGAGTCTCGTGAGGACCCCAGAACCTTCCGCAAGGGCCCCAAGAGGGCCCAGTGAGGACCCAACGGACACCTCAAGAGAACCCCAAGAAGACTCCAGGATGGCTCCAAGAGTTCTCGTCCTCGTTGTCCTCCTCCTCCTCCTCCTCCTCCTCCGCATCCTCCTCCACCTCGTCTTCGTTTTCCTCGTCATCGGCCTCGTCCACGTCTTCGTCGTTTTCCTGGTCCTCCTCGTTGTCGTCCTCCTCCTCCTCCTCCTCCTCCTCATCCTCATCATCATCGTCCTCGTCCTTATCCTCCGTCTTGCCCTAGTCGTCGTTCCCGTCGTCCGCCTCCTCCTCCTCCTGATTCTCGCTGTGCCCAAGAGGGTCCCCAGAGAGCACAAAGAAGGCCCCAAGAGGATACCAAGAAGACACAAACATGGATATTTCGGATGTTCCACAGCATGCTTCCGCACTTCCCTGAGCAGGGACGACTCGCCTGGCTATCGCTTCTGGATGAGCTGGCGAGGATACACGAAGCGTCAAGACTTAGTGCGTCATATTTGTGACGCGGTGTCGTCAGTGGGCTGTGCTACCATCTTGCGCCTCGCAATCACGATTCAGTGTCCTTGGGTGTTGGTGAGTTCTGACATTACTTGTTTCTCACCGTCGTGATGCGGCTCCATCGAGGAAACCTTGCTACAATGTTGTGACTCGCAGCTAGCTGTGTTTCCCTGGGTAAGGCCTGATACAAGGTTGTGCCTCACATATAGGTCGGTGCCCCCCTCAAGCGAGGATCCCGAGGCACCACTGCAGGACGGGCGAGTTCTGCGCCCTGCCTGGATACAGGGACCAGCCATTCTTGAGGCTGTGGAAGCCGATTGTATCCTCCCTCCCTCTTCCCTTCCCCCCTCCTCCACTCCCTCCACCTCCCCCTCCGCCGACGACGACGACGACGACGACGACGACCATGAAGACGACGACGACGAAGACGACGACGACGACGAGGACGACGACGACGACAACGACATCGACCACGACGACGACGACGACAACGACGTCGACTTCGACGACGACGACGACGACGACGACGACGGCGACGACGACGACGACGACAACAACGACGTCCACGACGACGACGACGATGACGACGACGACGACGACAACGACGACAACGACGACGACGATGCCGACGACGGGGACTCCCTATCTGAAGATGGCGGCAACGTAGACTCCAAACTCCGGCGATGACAGCGACGGCGCCGACGGCGACCCCCGACAACGACGACGACGACGACAACGACGACGATCACGCCCGAGCCTGCTGGCCCTCCTCGGTCAGCCAGCCGTGCTCGGGCGAGCCGGTGTCGTTGCCTCCTGGCTCCGGGCGCTGGCCGCGAGAGCCTCGTCGTCGTCGCCGCCGCCACCGGCACGGTTGGAGTCGTCGGGGTGCTTTTCCGCCTCGCCCTCCGTTTCCTCCCTTGTCCCTCCCCCCTTCCATCTCAGCATCGTCATCACCATGACCACCACAACCACCACCAGCATCACCATCACCATCACTATCACCATCATCACCATCACCATCATCATCATCATCATCATCATCATCATCATCATCATCATCATCATCATCATCCTCATCCTCATCATCATCATCATCATCATCATCATCATCATCATCATCATCATCATCATCATCATCATCATCATCATCATCATCACTATCATCATCATCATCATCATCATCATCACCACCACCACCACGAGCACCACCAACAACAACATCATCATCATCAGCATCAGCACTCATCATCATCATCATCATCATCATCATCATCATCATCATCATCATCATCATCATCATCATCATCATCATCATCATCATATTCGTCATCATCATCAGCATCATCATCATCATCATCATTATCAGTATCATCATCATCATCGTCATCATCATCTGCGTCATCGCCATCATCACCACCACCACCACCATCATCATCATCATCATCATCATCGTCATCACCATCACCACCATCATAATCATCATCATAATCATCATCATCATCATCATCATCATCATCATCATCATCATCATCATCATCATCGTCATCAACATCATCGTCATCGTCGTCGTCGTCTCAAGCTCGTCGCCACCATTGTGGCAATCAACCTCATTGCTTTAACTACGGTCATGCCGTCATCACCATCAACATCAACATCAACATCAACATCAGCATCGCCAGTGCAATCATCATGATAATCGTCATCATTGCCACCACCGACATCCCAACCACAATCAGCATCATCATAATCGTCGTCATAATTATCCTCATCCTCGGCCCCTTCTCAAAATTGGTTCTCGCCTGAATCAAAGGCCCACGAAGCACCTTCTGTCAAGGGGGCGCTTCTCATAATAAAATTACCCTGCGACGTACGCAACTCATCTACAGCAGCTGAGAAGAAGAGTTGGCCACAAATCCCACGGATGATGCTATGGCCAAGCCAGTCAGTTGTCGTGAATTCTGCATGGGAATTTCGCGCGCCGCGGGACTCACAGGACACCTGCAGGAGGGCGGAGGCGGGTGGGAGGTAGTGAAACCACAAGATCGAAGCGGAAGGGGGCGGGAAAGAGGAGAAGAAGATGAGCAAGGACGAGAACATAATCAAAATGATGTTTTGGAGGGAGGAGGAGGAGGAGGAGAAGGAGGAGGAGGAGGAGAAGGCGGAGGAGGAGGACGAAGACGACGACGACGACGACGAGGATATTCTTTTCCACAACATCGCGCACACATGGTGTCCGTCAGATGTCTGTCCGCAGCGCCACGCTGTGTGCACGTGCAGAAGCGGGGCAGCAGCAGCGGGGGCGGCGGTGAGGGCAGTCGGACGACCACCTTCGGGACTCCCTGGCGTGTGAGCGACAGAGGATGGAGGAACTCGCCATCGCTCGGACGTCCATTCCCCGTGCACCTTTCGGCTTCGCGCGTGTGTACTTGTCGCAAGATGACCTCGAACCCAGATATCTGGCTGTTCCAACTTTTGTCGATGCATCGGCCATGGAGGTCTGAACCACTTCCCCAGGACTGTTTTTTCATCCCGAGTCCTTTCTTGACGGTCCCAAGGCCTGGCGAGGGCCCCTGGAGGCCGAAAACGAAAAAAAGCCGCCCGCTCCTATTTTTGGGGAGCGTCGGATCTCTGGGAATGCTCCTCGAGGGTCCTTGCCGACATACACACGTCCGGGCGGTGCCGAGAGAAACGGCCCAAATGCGATACGAATGGGCCCGCCCCAGGTCGAAGCGAGGCCTGCCGACGCGCCAAGCAGCCAGGCGGAGAGGTCGGGCACGTCCTCCTACAGGCGGAATTTGGAAATAGACAAAAAAATCAAAACAAAAACAAAAAAAAAACTTAAAAATATTCCATACTCCAGAATAGTGGAAACATCGTCCCCAGACTATCTTTATACTATTTTTGGCAATTCCTCCTGTAGAAGGACACGCCCGATTTTACACGAATAAGCATTAGTGAAGGCCCAACGAACTAGGAGCCTGTGAGGACGGCTCCGGTCGCGGGGTCCATGCCGTCCGCGAGCAGTGGGAGTCGGGCAGCATGGGACGCAGAAGGACATACCAGCACTGTGCTCTTCCCTTGGAGGCAGAGGGGCCTAACCCCCACCATCACCACCGGCGACACCGGCGCAGCGGAGCAGCAGCAGGGGGGAGCGCAAGGGGGAGGAGCGCGCGCAGTAGCACGAGCGAGGAAGCAAGAGCAGCAGGGGAGCACACAGGGGACCGCCACGGGGGGGAGCCCCAGTGCAGTGGAAGCCCATGCCAAGAAACACCCTGCTCGCCTCCAGGGTGCCCTGGGTTTCTTGGGTTTCGATGGCTTTGCTATGGAGAGCGTGACGCTCCCTCACCAAAAAAATCCATGGACGTCCTGGGGTCTCAGGGTTGGGTTTCTCGTAGGTTTCTTGTGGAATGGCCTCCACTGTAGGAAGCATAACCCAGCAGGCTGCCAGCACACGCCCCTTCGGGAAGAGGCGAGCCAAAAGAAAACACGATGGCCTCACGGGAAGCCACGCAACTGGCCACAAATGCACAGACTCCAGCCCCCGAGGGAGGCCAAGGTCGCGCCGAGTTCTGCGTGGGACACCTCTCCGCTGGACCTCCCAGGAGCCCACGAAAATGTTGACACTTGCACAGATGCCAGCCCCCGAGGGAGGCCGAGGTCTCGCCTGGATCTGCGTGGGACACCACTCTGCAAGACCCCCATAACAGCCCTCGAAAGTGGTGACAGTTTCACACGCCGCAGCCCCCCAGGGGTGACCCAGCAGGAGGCAGGTAGGAGGTAGGCAGGCTGTAGCTGGGAGGCTCGTGGGAGGTAGGGAATAGGAGGATTGAGAAGGAGGGAGGCGGGAGAAGGACCTGGAGACCGCAGTGCCCACTTTCAAAAAGAGAACCCAGCACGGGAAGGTTCGAAAAAAGTGCTGGTACTTCTGAGGAGGGGGCTTGGGACACGAGAGTGTATTGCAGCATCGTTAATGCATCCCAGGTCTCCTCTGGCCCTCCTCCACATCCTCCTCCTCCTCCTCCTCCTCCTCCTCCTCCTCCTCCTCCTCCTCCTCCTCCCTCCTCCTCCTCCTCCTCCTCCTCCTCCTCCTCCTCCTCCTCCTCCCCCCCTCCTCCTCCCCCCCTCCTCCTCCCTCCCTCTCCCCCCCAGCCTCCTCCTGCAAGTCCATCCTCCCCATTGTCCTCCACCTCCTCCTCCTCCTCCTCCTCCTCCTCCTCCTCCTCCTCCTCCTCCTCCTCCTCCTCCTCCTCCTCCTCCTCCTCCCCCCCCCTCCTCCCCCCCCCCTCCTCCTCCCTCCCTCTCCCCCCAGCCTCCTCCTGCAAGTCCATCCTCCCCATTGTCCTCCTCCTCCTCCTCCTCCTCCTCCTCCTCCTCCTCCTCCTCCTCCTCCGCCTCCTTCCCTGTCCTCCTCCCGCCCGCCCCTGCCTGCTCCTACCCCTTCGTCCTTCTCTTCCTCCCTTGCGCCTCACTCTGCTCCCGCTGCTGCTCCTTTTCCTCCTCCTCCTCCCTCCTCCTCCTCTCCTCCTCTCTCCTCCTCCTCCTCATCATCATCATCATCATCATCATCATCATCATCATCATCATCATCATCATCATCATCATCATCATCATCATCATCATCATCATCATCATCATCATCATCATCATCATCATCATCATCATCATCATCATCATCATCATCATTATCATCAGCATCAGCATCAGCATCAGCATCAGCATCAGCATCAGCATCAGCATCATCATCAGCATCGGCATCATCATCAGCATCATCATCCGTATCATCCTCATCGTCAGCAGCAGCATCAGCATCATCATCACCACCACCACCATCATCATCATCATCATCACCATCATCATCATCGTCGTCGTCGTCGTCGCCGTCGTCGTCGTCGTCATCAGCATCATCGCTACCAACAACAACATTCATCGTCATCATCGTCAGCATCATCATCAGCATCATCATCATCATCAGCAGCATCATGATCATCATCGTCGTCATCATCAGCATCATCATCACCACCATGATCGTCATCATCATCAGCAGCAGCATCAGCATCCTCGTCGTCATCGTCATCGTCAACATCACCATCACCACCACTATCGTCATCACCATCACCATCACCATCACCATCACACCATCCATAATCCGTGTCAGCAGCATCATCATCATCATCAGCAGCAGCAGCATCAACATCATCAGCAACATCATCATCATCAGCATCATCATCATCGTCGTCGTCATCGTCAGCATCACCATCACCACCACCACCACCATCACCATCACCATCAATAATCCTTGTCAGCAGCAGCATCCTCCTCATCATCAGCATCTTCGTCATCAGCAGCAGCAGCAGAAGCGTCATCATCAGCAGCAGCATCATCCTCATCATCCTCTCATCATCCCCGTCATCGTCCTTATCATCCTCCTCATCATCAGCAGCATCAGCATCAGCATCATCATCATCATCAGCAGCAGCATCATCAGCATTATCATCACCATGATCGTCACTGCCAACAGTACCAGCAACATCATCTGTAGCATCATCATCGGAATCACCATTAGCAGCATCATCATCAGCAGCAGCAACGTCATCACCATCCTCGTGATCACCGTCATCGCAATCATCCCCATCAGAACCACCACCACCACAGCATCATCATTCTAATCATCATTGTCGTCGTCTTCGTCGTCATCATCATCAGCAGCAGCATCAGCATCAGAATCATCAGCAGCAACAGCAGCAGCAACATCGTCGTCATCAGCAGCAGCAGCGACATACTCACCGTCATTATCATCATCAGCAGCAGCATCATCATCATTTTCATCATCATCATCATCATCATCACCACCTCCACCACCACCACCATCATCATCAACCTCAGCAGCATCAACCTCAGCAGCAGCAGCATCATGCACCTCCTCCCTCTCCTGCCTCGTCCAGCCCCGGGTAGCGACACGCCTCCGGGCACGAGCACCACGAAGCAGCACGGACGGGCAACCTGGCGGGAGCAGGACAAGGCACCGGCAACAGCGCCGAGGCACCGGCAGGGCGAAGCACCGGCCCCAGCAGGAGGCGAGGCCCATCGGAGCACCAGGAGGACCACAATGAAGGGCGGCGTCCTCCAGTGGTCTGGCACCACGACGGCCCAGAGATCACGCGGTAGATCTCGGCTAGCCTGCCCATCCAGGGGTGGAGGGCGGAAGGCGGAGTACGGAGGATGGAGGCTGTGAGATCGGGGATGGAGGACGGAGGACGGAGGGTGCGGCATTCGTGAAGAGGGGGGGTGATCAAGGATGCAGGAGGGGGGGGCTGAGGACGGGGGATGGAAGATTGGCGGGACGGGGGGGCTGAGGACGGGGGATGGAGGATTGAAGGTGGACGATGGTAGACGGGGGATTGACGACGGACGATGAAAGATGGAGGACGGAGGATGGACGATGGAAGATGGGGGATGGAGGACCAAGGGTAGAGGATGGAAGAGGGTGGGGGGTGTAGAAGGGAGGGGGAAGGGCATCGGAGAAGAAGGAAGACCACGAAGACGAGGGCGAGGAAGGCCTGGGTGAGAAAGAGGGCGACGACGAAGACGACGTGAAAGGGATGTGGAAGGGGGCACCAGAGCCTCCTCTGTACCCCCATCCTCCTCCTTCCGCGTCGCGGGTCCACGGCCCTACGTTTCACTCGCGACGGGCAGAGCTGGCGGTACAAGGGAGCGGGCGGGCGTGAGGCCCAGCTTGCGGAGGGTGCTGTGCGTAGCACGGAAAAACCCCCGAGGACCTTAGAGCACGCCCGACGAACTCCAACCTCCGATTCAGAAGCCTCCAGAAGCGCCCACCATATTCCCGTTAACGCCGATTGTCTCCGACGATCTCCGACCGAGCTCCCAAAAACGTCTGGAGGCCTACGCCTCCAACAAGTGCCGAAGAAACCGCCGAGCGCCTCCGACCATCTCCGAAAACAACCAGAAAAACCTCCAAGAACATCCCACAATCCGTTGCGGATCTCAGGGGCGCATATCCCAAACCTCCCCGACTCCCGTCCTCAGCTTGGCCGTCTTCGGCTGCAGCTGGCACCCCTTGTCCGGCCAGAAGGACCAGAAGGAGCAGTCCTCGCGCAGCGCTGGACGTGACACGCGACGACCCCGACGGCAGCCACGCCTACATCAAGGGAGGGGGGGGCGGCTAGAAGAAGGAGGAAGCAGAAGAGGGAAGAGGAGAGAGGGGGAGGAGGCAGGGAGGAGGGAACAGCCTTGCACTGATGCACAGCTCTCCTCCTCGGGCCTCTGGAGGGCCCGGATGGACCCGACGCTGGACGGAGCGCCCCAGGACTGGCCCAGGGGTCGCCTCTAGGGAGGAGGAGGAGGAGGAGGAGGAGGAAATGGAGGAGGACGAGGAGGAGGAGGAGGTGGAGGTGGAGAAAGAAGAAAGAAACACTCCGTTGGGGCCTGGTTCGTCCAGCTACAGCAACTCGGAAAGGCCCAGCGACGATCCTTAAGATAGGATCCAAAACGCCTGGGACGCTGGCCCCAAGGCTAGACCGTAAACTGGTCCACTGCCCGAGGCACTGAACGCGGGTACGAGTTACCCGAATCCAGACCCGCGGGGAACTCAGAAACTCACCCCGTTCTCCGAACCATATCCTGCACGTGCTTGCTACGAACGAGGGCCTCCCACCTAGCAGAGTCCCTGATGGTTCCCTGGGCCGTCAAGAAGCGCTATACTGGTCTGTCGCCTGTGGGGGCCTCTCCTCCGTGCCTCTGAACATACCTATCCGCTACCGCTCTCACCTCCGCTCCTACCTCCATCGGGCCTAAGTACCTACTGGAGCTCGTGGGGGCAATCGACGGGGGCGTAGAAATACTCCTCAAGGGCCTCTGGGATCCCAACGGCAATCTCTGTGGGCTCCTGGGGGCAATCGAAGTTCTGGGCGAAATACTCCTCAACAGCCTCTGAGCCGCCGACGACAATATCTGCGGGCTCCTGGGGGCAATCGAGGGTCCGGGCGAAATACTCCTCAAGGGCCCCTGAGATGCAGACGACAACCTCTGATGGGCTCATGGGCGCAATCGATAGAGGCGGCGAAATCCGCCTCGAGGGCCTCTGGATCCCCGCAGACCTGGACGAACGAAACGGCGATGGCGGTGGAATAGATCGCGATGCCGACGACGCCTTCATCCTTTCACTCGCATCGCTGGACCTCGAATGTATATTACTGGGCGCTGCGCCAGCTTCATTCATGCTTTGAATCGCTGAAGAAACTGGATGATGTGAATCGATATGTGGATGAATCTCTGAAGCAACTGAATGATGTGAATCGATATGCGTCGCTCTCTGAATCACGCACTCGCATGTATGCTAGAAACGCCTCGAGCCACTCCTGCACATCCCTCTCCATGTGCGTCGCTGGCGCCCCCCCCCTTTCAGCTCGCCGCCGAGCTGGGCCAACGCCGAGATCACCTCCTTGCGGCACTCCCCCAGGCACAACGTGATGCGCCTCTTCTGCTGGTCGTAGCACCTGTCGAGCTTCGTGAACTTGATCACGCCCATGCGATCCTCGTACCCCATCGTGCCCAGGCGCTCCTTCCACCCCTCCAGCCGCACGAAGTTCGCTTTGCCGATGAATCCCTGACGATTGAGCAGCGCCTCGAGAAGTCCCCCGAATACACATGGATGCGGAGCGCCTAGATTGCGGCCTTTTTCCTTTGGCTTGCACCTGCTCGCTGTACTCGGCCCCCTGCTCGGCCACGCGAATTACCTCTGGCACGTCGCGCGGCGCAATGATGACGTCGAAGAGAATCCCCTCCACCGCGCGGCGCGACTGCGCCAGCTGCATGATCATCTATATCATGAGCACCATCAGCAACCTTTTGGCGGGATTGTAACCTGCGGCGGACTTGGCCACCTTCGGCTGCTCGCCTTCTGCCGCGCGGCGGCGCTGACGCCGCTCGTTCTCGGGCCTCGCCACCGCCTCGCCGCCTAGAACGAGGGACATCGCGGGCAACTCCCTCAGCTGCTGGACGCGCTGCGGCCGCCCGGCGAACTCCTGGGGCTCTGGGCAGGATGGCGACGGGCGGAGGAGGTAAGTGATGCTCGACTGCACGGTCCAAGAAATCATTTGGCGCCTCGTGCTCGTCTCCACACATAGGGCATGCACATGACACGGGGTTCACTGGGGTCCACGAGAAGGCCGTCCTATGGAGTCGACACCGGATATTTAGCCAGGCCGTACGAACGCGTTGTCGAACACTATCTCCTGTCGAAATACAACTGCGGCACCATGGGCAGGCGTTCGAAATCACAAACGAGAAAAGCGGATTCAACCTTCCGTGCCCAGCCCCTTTCGACCGAGACTGGCGCGCAAACAAAGCACTTCCGGTGTCGAACACTTGCGAGCAAGCGTTACCGCGTTCATCCTTAAGCGCGCAGATGTGTCTACCAGGGCCCACTAAACCACCATATTCCGCAAGAGCCTGCGCGGGCCCTCTAAGTCGAGATAAGAATAGCTCCCCCCCGCCATGTACAACCGCAGCCCGCAATAGCTGTGCATCTAACTTCAAAAAGAACTCTCGAACCTCGTCCTCCACGAACAATGCCTTCCAAGAATACCCCCACCTCTCCCAGGCCTCGAAGAAATCCCCCGCTCCACTGATGTGCGCGAAGGCCCAGACATTTTTGTTCGATCTGCACGGCGATCGGCGGCGCGGACTTCACGAGCTTGCCCTCGGCGCCCAAACTCTTCGGCCCTTTCTGCAGCGCACCCCATATCGCTGATATCACCTGGCGGTGCGCGGCGGCGCCCTTGGCCATCCGCTGCGCCCGCCCAAATTTCCTGGCCGCCTGCTCGAGGCAGATCGGCATCAGTCGCCACTTTCGGCGAAGCACCGAACTGGGGAGGGCGCGCGGGCGTTCGCCTTCCCATTCCGCGGCCCTCCCCCGCTCCAGGACCCGAAGAGATCTTTAAATCAAGGCATCCAATTGTTGCGTCGGAGAAGTCGCCCAAAAAAACACAAGGTTCGTTTGCTGACAAAGCCGCTTCCACAACGTGGCCCCTAAAGGCCATAGTCTTGAGACCCCTGGAAATCCTGCTCGCCCAAAGCTTCCCAATCTTTATCCACCCGGCGTGGGCCGCGGCGATGCGGCACCGGAGCTCCTCCATGCTGGAGAGGTTCCAAGCGTAGCGGCTACCCAGATACGAGGAAGAGCTTCGCCACCTGCGAAGGCCTGAGAAAAAGACTTGTTCGCTCGACGGCTTCTGAGACTCGGGACCGTTTCTCCTTACTATAGTTCTGGATGAACCCCGCCTTCTCCAAAGTCGAATCCAGAGTCGCATCGCTCGTCTCCAAGATCGTCTTAATCGCTTCGGGTGTCGCGTCGTCGACGGGGGCCTCATCAGAAATGTCGCCGGCGTAAACCGTCGTCGCCCCGCCACAGGTTGCCCCAAAGATCCCGCGCCTAAGATTCGCGACCTCCGAAAACGTCGAACGCGCGTCGATCCACTGGCGCATCGGCTGCCTCATCGCTTTCGCAGAGACCACGGGCTCCTCATTAGGCCCCATCAGACCCCCACGGTGACGTCGGGCAGCTAGGCCCCACTGGCGTTTCCAGGGGCCCCCCGACGTTCGAGCCCAGACGTCTCCGAGCGCGCGCGCATTCACTGTGCATCAGCGTGTCCGAAAAGGTTATTGATCGCATGTCTACGTGCTCGTGGTATAGTAAATGCGAACGCGTTCGTCATGTCGCGCAGGTCGTTCAAGCGCGGCATGCGCTGCGCGCGTTACCTAGAGCCCATGCAGAGCTGCACTGCGATGGCATCCGCACGACGACGACGAGGAAGGAACACATGGAACTTCGCTGGCCATCGAACCCCCTGGGCATGCATGTTTTTTTTTCTCAGCAGGCCTCCGCATAAACCTTTCCAGTACGGGCACATCACGTTGATCAGTCGTTTCGGAAATGCCCCCACCTTGCCGTTAAATTTTGTTATGGGCATAGACCGCGCGAGATTCCCCCAGGTCGGCGCGCGGCCAATCATGCGGCATGCTACGTGTATATCATCCAAGATGCGCGCGGATGTCGCCATACTCGTCTCGCCGATCGGGGCGCATCCAATACCTGAGCGTACCTCTGGGCCCGCGGGAAGGCACTTCGGGTCGGCGGCCATAAGGTGCAACTCTACTGGGGAACTCCATGGGGGCGCCGCCCGTCTCTTCTGGCTCGTGCGTAACTGTCGAAGGGTCATCTGATAGTCACGCTGACCAGAGAATGCACGTCTTTCCTGTTCCTCGGCCCCCGGCAGCGCCGGCGGCTGATGGGGGGAAAAATCGCTCAACATCCAGGGGGGCTGCCTCCATTCCCCCCCCGCGGCACAGAGGCTGAGCTGGTCCCCCCACTCCTCCTTCGTCTCGTAGGTTTGCGGCAAGTTGCATCTCCGTCGCCTCGGCCCTATTTGCTTTCCTGCCAATAAGAAGAATAGCTTGGGCACTTCAGCATTTCGTCGAGCGCGGTGCGCATCTTCAATTTCCTTCTCGAGCCTCCGTCGCGTGCGATGCCAATGAGCTCTAGTTTCACGGCGGAGGCGAATCTGAATCCCCTGAAGCTCCTGCAAGTCTGGGCACGTGTGCACTGGCGCAATCGGCTCGGGCGAAATACTCCTCAAGGGCCTCCGATGCGATGGTACCTCTCTGCGGGTCGTGGCACCTGTCGAACGTGAACTTGATACTGCCCTGGCTCCTTTTTCTCATGCGAGCTACCTCGGACACGTCGAACAATGATGAAACCTGCGCACTCGCATATATGCAAGACCGGCTGTCCAGCAACTGTGGCGACCGTGAACCTGGGCACCCATCGGGCACCCAGGATTTGCGATCTAGCGCCTGTCCTGCACGCTTCTCTGAAGAAACTGAATGGTGTGAACGATTGTCCAGCAAGTGTGGCGACTGTGAACCTGGGAGCCCAGCGGGCTCCCAGGGTTTGCGTTCTGGCGCCTGTCCAGTGGATCTCTCTGCAGAAACTGAACGATGTGAATCGACGAACTGCAATCCTGCGCGTAGGTTTCGTCGTCTGCGAACCAGCTCAAGTCTGCCCCGTCTAAGTTCAGCTAGCTCAGGGTTGGGCACTTCTCGCTGAAGCTGGAAGTATCTCAATCCGATATCAGCAACTGCTCCTTTCCATGATCCCCACGCCGCATCAACAGGGCCCTGCTGGGCCAGGGAGGAAACCTGTGGCAAGATCAGCTGCATCTTCTGCTCTAGTGCCTCCAGAAAGGGTTCTCGGCCTTGGCCCCGCTGCACAGCCGCCGACAACTTATCCCGATCCCAGAAGAAAATCTGCATTGTTCTCATATCTTCTATATACTGTAAGTCGAAGAAGCAGTGGCACGTGGTCTCGCGGGGTCCGACTGGGGATCATATGTAACTTCCGCGCCTGTGGCCACAGGACTCGACCAGATATGATCTGCTCCCGAGCCGCCATCGGTACGAAGATGTGGTCTATCGTGCTGTTGTTTGCTTTGTTGCCATAATAGGTGGGTCCTCCAAATCTGTCTGCTCTCACCGCGTCGTACATATCCATGGGTGCTAAAACCTCATCCTGGATCATGTTGCGTACGATGTTTCGTTCCCCCGTGCTGCAGGGCCCCGCCAGGTGCCTCTCTTCTTCCCACCAGTCGACAGGCGACGTTGGGGCAACCGTCGGGAGACATCCTCGGAGCCCCACGTGCGTGTTGAAGTCCCCCAGGAAGATAGGCGTGGACCTCGTCGGGACTGCCCGAAGTTCTTTCGTGGCCCATTGGAGTAGCTGGGTGGAGCCCTTCTCGAGGGTCCTCCGTTTCTTCGCAGACTCGTCACTCAGCGGCGGCATGTATGTAGCTATAATGATTAGGTCCATACTGTGGCTTCTCAGCCTAATAGCAAGCCCTCTCCCCTGCATTGTCGATGGAGGTGTCGCTACCGCCCGAAGATGTTTAGCTTTGAACATGCCCCCGAACATGAAGGTGCACCCCGCATGTTTGTTGGTTCTGGGGCCCTTGTCCCAGCCTGCGTAGAGCGCCATGGCCTCTCGCCCGAGAGACATTCTACTTACTGGGATCCCCGAACTCGCCCTCAGTCTGGTCCCGGGCAATACCACTATGTCCGCCCTCAGTCTCCCAGATATCTACGATCCGCTGCGGTTCGATCAGCGACATGGGGCTGTACAAGATTATCCTGAGCGCGGCAAGCCGCGCGGGCCTGGCGGACGCACTCGACGCCCGCGCCAGCATCCCAGGCGCCGATCTCCTGGCGGTCGAGCGCGCGAGGAGAAGCGAGGTTCGGTAGGGTGAGTGGATGCTGCGGTGGGGCGAGAAATCCCTCGAGCAGCTGGTGGAGGTGGACGAGGGGAAGGAGGAGATCGAGGAGATGGAGGAGGAGGAGGAGGAGGAGGAGGAGGAGGAGGAAGGGAACGGCCAGGCCGCCGCCAGCCACAGCTCGTGAGCGACGAGAGAGAGAGCGCCACGTCCCTGCGAGACCTCCCGGTGTGCGCGCGGGCCGCCCACGCAGCAGGTCACCGACCCTGGGCGCAGCGATGCCCCGCAGAGCAGCGAGTGGCCTGGCCGCGTGGGGCAGAAGCGCCTGTGCGAGCGCCTGGGCCACGTCGGGGCCTGGCTGCAGCTGGCGTCAGGCAGTCAGGCAAAGCCATGGGTCAAAAGGCTCGGCGGCGAGCGAGGGGGGGGGACTGAGAAGGTGAAGGCCTTGTCACCTTCTGGGAAGTTTTCTGAGCCTTCCCCGAAGACACAAAAGACTTTTCAGTTGGCGCGGGGGTTTCTGAGAAGTCCCGCCGCCTTCTGAGAAGGCCTTCTCCTTCTCACTTCCCCCCTCTCCCCGCCGAAAGGCACATGAGTCATATGAGCAATATGGCGCGCTTGCCGCGCCGAGCACAATGAACGCACTGCTTGTTTCCAGTCTCGTACTGGGATTGTGCACAAATTGTCGATCGAAGCCTGAACAGTGGCACGGGCGTCACTTGCAACTTTGCAGAACTCGGCTGGAGCTGGTAGAGGGTCGCAAGGCCGGCAATCGTCCAGGGGAGGCCATTCTCTCCCTGCGAATCCTCGGCTCAGTCCTCCAGCAAACCCAGCCAATGGGCGGAGCAGGGGGCTTGCGTGGGCGATGATGCGCGATACTACGCTCCCGCACACAAACACACACTCGCACACACACACACACACACATACACACACACACACAAACACACATACATATATATATATATATATATATATATTCAGGCGCCGCGGCACTCAAAGCAGTGCGGTTTCTGTCGGGTGTTGCTAGAAGAGCCCCTTGCCCGAGGTGCCCCCCGGGTTTTCGAGTAGGCCCCCACGGCTTCCAGAGGACCGCTCACAAGGCCCAGAGGGCGCCAGGTGCCCCAGAATGGAGCGAAATGTTGGGAGCACCTTGGCCCGGGGGCACCTTCAGCAGCCCCCGAATCTGGGCGGTGCCGTCATCGCACCACAGTGGGGCGACGGAATCTACACAGATCCACTGCTCCCTGGCCAGGCCCATCCTGAGCCCAGCAGCAGAGTATGCGCCACGCCCATCTGGCTTGGCCAGGAGGGCGTGTACACAGCTCCTGGGTTCACAACTCGGGGGCGGCCAAGAGGGAGGCGTCCAAGAGGGGGGGCGCAAATCATGGCCGGCGGCATGTGCGCGGCCCAGGGGGGGGGGGGGCCAGGAACGTAATGGAATAAGAAGAGGCGCCATGAAATCTCAGGAAACAAATTGGCCCCCGCCATGACATCCACCCCCCTAGTCATCACCCCCCTCTTTGCCGCCCCCGGAGGCCGTGCCTGGCCAGGAAGCAGTGGATGTGTATAGGTCTCGTCTCCCGACGCAGCAGCGCCTCGGGAACTGGCAGGCGGGGAAGGCCCGCGCGCATGCGGCAGGAGGCGGGCCACGCACCCGTCAGGGCGCGGATATGCCGCGGGCGGCAACCGCCGGCGGGATTTTGAGGCGAAACCACGCGGTCACGCGGACCGCCAAGCTGGAGGCGGCCAGGGAGTCTGAATGGGTTGGGACGGGAACGAAACAGCTACCCTGGGCTGCTTAATGAGCGTGGGCGGGTACCTTCCCGACGGGGGTCGACCTCGCCTCGTCGTCGCGCCGCGACGGGGGTCGGCCCCCCCGACGCAGATGAAGAAACTCGGAGTAGAAAGAAACACTAACGGCCAAATCGTTGCAGAATCGGTCCCCGGACCCCTCCAAGGGCCTGCTGGTCGGAGCCGGTGCTGGGCCACCGCAGACCCCAAGCCAGCCGCTGGGCGCAGTTGCATCGACGGATCACGGCGTCGAGGCCCCCAGGGAGCAAAGCTGCGGGGGCAGCGGCGGCCGCGCGCGCGCTGCAGGCGGGGCCTGCGAGCAGAGGCCGCGGCCGCAGCCGCGGTTCGCGGAACGCTGCGTTGATGGCCGAGTACCGTGCACTGCGCCGAGTTTGCAGACGTGCTGCGGCGGATGTTTGCGTGGATTGCTGCCGATGCAAGACCCGAAACGGCGAGCGAAAAACGAAGTGAAATTCATGTGAATATGTTGTAGTCTTCATTCATGGCCCAAACACAAGCCGCACGAAATTCACTTCGAAATCCGGAACGACATTCTCCAGGACACTCCGGGCCCATGATTTGTTTTCCGAACGAAATCCGCTCTGCGATGTTGGCGCCATGACATTTCGCCTGCGTCCTGGGTGCACAATACACTCGATGATGGTGAGACATGGTCACGGAAACCTTGGTAATTACCGTAGTGGCTCTTGCAGACGACAGGCCCGTTATTTTGTCCGTTCTCGTCCTGCCGTTTTCTCCCTGGGCCCCGCGCCATTTGCGTTTTTGTTCTGGCTCCGTCGCCGTTTTTTCCTTTCCGGTTCCAGCTCCGGCTCCGATCCTGGAGCCATCGTCACCATCGCCACCATGGCCGCCACTGCTGCTATCGCCGCGCCGCAACTCACCTCCGCCGCCGCTATCGTCCTCCTCGTCGTCGTCGTCGTCGTCGTCGTCGACGTCGCTGCCGCCGCCGCCGACGGCCCGCCGCAGCCGCCCGAGGGGCCGTGGCGGCCGCCGGGCAGCCGCGCGTCCGAGATCTTCTCGCATCTGGCCTGGCATGCCTCGGCGCTCGCCTCCACGGTCCTGCCGCCAGGCGCCCGGGCGACTGGGTCCATCCCTCCGTCCCCCGTTCCTCCTCCTCCTTCCCCTCCTCCGCCTCCTCCTCCTCCTCTTCTTCTCCTTCTTCTGATTATGATGCTCGTTTCTCTGATCATTAGCATTATCATTATTCATTTCGGTATTACTGTTATCAGTATTGACGTTATCGTGATTCGAAATATCATGATTATAAGCATGAGTTGGTAATCTCAGTAAAATTACCACTTGATAGTAGTAACGTTATGTGTATTCTTAGCGCAATATGAATATTAATATTGTTTGTATGGTTGGTACTGCTCTTAGTAATAATATGCCTAATGATATTGTCAGTAGCAGTAGTAGTAGTAGTAGTAGTAGTAGTAGTAGTAGTAGTAGTAGTAGTAGTAGTAGTAGTAGTAGTAGTAGTAGTAGTAGTAGTGGTAGTGGTAGTGGTAGTGGTAGTGGTAGTGGTAGTGGTAGTGGTAGTGGTAGTAGTAGTAGTAGTAGTAGTAGTAGCAGTAGTAGTAGTAGTAGTAGTAGTAGTAGTAGTGGTATTCGTAGCAGTAGCAATATGAAGATTACAAATAATAGTACCGCCATTAGCACGATGATCCATATTCTCAGCATTGGTCGTGTTAATATGATTAGTATTAGTATTCATCGTATCCGTATTATTCGTGGTCGTAATAGTATCGGAAATAATAAACACTATTACTAGTACTATGACTGCTCATATTAGATCCTCATCATTAGGATGATACGTAAAACTAATACGACGCGTTCTACTCTTATTGCTGCTATCATTATTAGCAGCCGTAGTATAAGCAGGAACAATATTATGTGTACGAGTACAACTACAATATACTACTCTTCGGAATATTAATGATGTCATTAATAGCAGTACTGTTGTTCGTTCTCTTTGCTCGTATGATGATTCATATTATTCTTCGCATTCGTATGATGCTTAAGAGTGTTACCAGTTGTTAAGTGTTCGTCCTCGTTCTCCTCCTCCTCATCCTCCTACTCCATATCCTCCTCCATCCAATATGAATAACTCCTCCCTGCTGCATCCCGAAGCCGGTCCCGGAGTCTCCCATGTACGATCCTAAAGTTTCAAGCCAGCAACCGCTTCACGAATGGAGGGCGGTCAGTTTTCAACATGTGGCTCCCGCTTTAGCGTCACGCACATTTGTTGTAACAGTTTGCATCAACTTCTTCACGAATGGGGGGCGGCCTGTTTTCAAAACGTAAATCTTACCTGAGCGCCGCACACATTCCTCTTAAAGCTATCCTGATGAAAGACCCAGCCATATGGGCACGGTGGTGTCTTGCGAACGCAGGCACTGGGGCCTTCGGCGGATGCCCCTATGAGGCTACGAAACATGTGAGGGGTGTGCCGACATGGGCGCGGTGGTGTCATGCGAACGCAGCCACTGGGGACTTCGGTGGAGCTCCCTATGAGGCCACGAAACATCTGAAGGGTGTGCCAGAATTGGTGCGGTGGTATCATGCGAGCGCAGCCACTGCAGCCTTCGGTCAAGCTCCCTATGAGCCCACGAAACGTATGAGGGGTGTGCCGACATCGGTGCGGTGATGTCATGCGAGCGTAGCCACTGCAGCCATCGGTCAAGCTCCCTATGAGGCCACGAAACGTTTGAGGGGTGTGCCGACATCGGCGCGGTGATGTCATGCGAGCGCAGGCACTGGGGCCTTCGGTGAAGCTTCCTAAGAGGGCCACGAAGCGTGTGAGGGGTGTGCCGACATCGGCGCGGTGGTGTCACGTGAGCGCAGCCACTGGGATCTACGGTGCAACCGTCTATGAGGCCACGAAACATGTGATTGGTGAGCCGAAATGGGTGCGGTGGTACCATGCGAACGCACCCACTGGGGCCTTCGGTGGAGCTCCCTGTGGGGCCACGAAACGTGTGAGGGGTGTGCCGACATGGGCGCGGTGGTGTGATGCGAGCGCAGCCTGGAGCTCCCGATGGGGCCACGAAACGTGTGAGGGGAATGCCGACATGGGCGCGGAGGAACGCGGGGACCGTCTCTTCAAAACGAGGACCCAACACCACAGCATGGTTGGGAACTTTGCAACAGCTTCATGGATGAAGGGCGGTCCGTTTGCAAAATATGGCTCTCGCCTTAGCGCCCTGCACCTAAAAAGCTCGTAACCGTTTCACTGATTGAAGGCGGCTCCTTTTCAAAATGTGGCTGTCGCCTCAGCGCCGCGCACATTCGTCATAAGAGTTTGCAACAATGTCAATGATTACCATGGCTAACGTCCCAAACCTGACGTTTGGGTACGATATCGGAACGTCAGGGCGCAACAATCCGCCGACCCCTTGGGGTTCATCGGCGTGTGAGATGCCCCGTCCTCCCCAAACCCCTCCCCCCGGAAGCCTGGTCCGGTCGATTTGGAGCTAAGAGCGCTCCAAGAGGGCCCAAGAAGGGAACCACGAACTGAAAATCCTATCTTTCCGCCCCAGAAAGCTTCCTAGGAGGCCCCAAGAGCTCCCCCAGAGGCCCCAAGAAGCCCCCAAGATGCACCCACGAGGCCCAAAAGAGGCCCCAAGAGGCCCCGACACAGTCCCCCAAAGGCATCCAAACTGTCTCCAGGAGGCCTCCGAGAGGCATCTCACGAGATCCCAACGAACATCCAAGAGGCCTCTGAACCACGACCCAGGCGCAGTGGTGGGATGGGCCGAAGGCCACTCGATATAAATACAAGCCTACCTCACGCAGCACCCAGCCGCCGCCACAGCGACTCTCCCCACTCCCCCTCTCCACGGAGACTCGGGGGGAAGGGAGTGGGAGGAGGAGGGAGGAAGGATTGGGAGGACGAGACGAAGGAAAACAGGAGAGGATGGGAGCTGTCCGAGTCTCGTGGCGTGGTCTCCCACTTTTCGGATTCTGCCCCCAGAGGCCTCCAAACTATCTCTGGGTGCCTCCGAGAGACTTGAAGCCCCCAGGACCCCCCAGAAACCCAATGGATATTGAAAAAGCTCCCAAAGAGCTCCACAAGACGGTCTAAGAGTCCCTCACTCGCCGAATGATTGCCTCCAAAGCGCACCACAAGGTTTCCAAAAACACTGCCATATAGACCCAATGAGACCCGAACCTTCTACTTCCCTCACGACAACATACGTTGTCCGCAACTACGACCTTCCCGCCTGCACGGCGTTGAAGCACGCCCAGAAGCCCCCACGACCGCCGTAGAACAGTTCAAGAGAGCCCCAAGACAGCCCCAGAAACGCACCAAGAGGCAACAGAAAGCCCCAACGGGTCGGCGGTGTGGCGTAAGCCCAAGAATCACATTGAGTCGCGGCGTTGAAATCCCAGGAGTTGTGATTTGGCGAAATTCAGGGGCGTCACGACGCAACAGTGATGATGATTCGCGGCGTTGAAATCCCAGGAATGGTGTTCTGGCACAGATCCGCATTTTCAAACGGTTACCTTCCAACGGGACACTTCCCTCAATGAAAATGAACCCTTGTATGGGACCTATGAAGAAGGAACTTGGAGGAAGGATGTATTGCAATTTCGTTGATGCGTCCCAGGTTTACACTGGTCCTCCTCCTCATCCTCCTCCTCCTCCTCCTCCTCCTCCCCCTCTTCCACCGCATCCCCCTCCTCCTCCTCCGCCGCCTCCTCCTCCTCCTCCAACTGCTCCTCCATCCCTCTTCCTTGTAAATAACTCCCCCATGTTGCACATCGAGACTGTTCGGTAGGGCGGGCCGGACAGCTTCACGGATGGAGGGCGGATGAATTCAGAATGTGGTTCTCGCCTCAGCACCGCGCACAATCGTCTCCAAAGTTCACAAGAATTTCACAGATTGAGGGCGGCCCGCTTTCAAAATGTGACTCTCGCCTGAGCGGAGCGCACGCTCCTCTTAAAGTTTGCAACAGCATTGCGGACGGAGGGCGATTACTTTTCAAAATGTGGCTCTCGCCTGAGCGCCGCGCACAACCGCCTTGACACTTTCCTGCAGTTTCAAAGATTATTCTGGGTGACGTCCCAGACACGGTGTTTTGGCCCAATTTAGGATTGTCAGGGCGCGACAGTCACGTCGATTCGCGGTGTTGACGTCCAAGATATGTTTTCTGGCACGATTTAGGATCGTCAGATCGCAACAGTCGCGCTGGTTCGCTGCAGTGAAGTCCCAGGAATGGTGCTTTGGCACGGTTGAAGACTTTCAACCGGTTGTCTTCCAACGGAGCTCCTCTCGCAGTGAAAATGTACCTTGATATGAGCATGTCAAGAGGGAATTTGGAGGGAGAGTTTATTGCAACATCGTTGGAGAGTCTTGGGTTTACTTTGGTCCTCCTCCTCCTCCTCCTCCACCTCCGCCTCCTCCTCCTCCGCCTCCCCTCTGCCTCATCCTCTTCCTGCTCCTCCTCCTCCTCCTCCTTTTCCTCCTCCTCCTCCTCATCCTCGTCCTCCTCCTCCACCTCCTCCTCCGCCTCCTCCGCCTCCGTCTCCCCTTCCTCTGCCTCATCCTCTTCCTGCTTCTCCTCCTCCTTCTCCTCATCCTCCTCCTCCTCATCATCCTCCCCCGCGGTCGACAGGCGAATCTCAGAATTTTCTGGGCGAACCCCCGAATTCCCAAACAAGCGAAGCCCAAAATCCATTCCGGCAAAACCCGGCATCGGGAGCCTCCTCAAACTCCTCCTCAAACTCCTTCACGGTCCTGGCCATGAAGTTGGGATCCCAGCGGTACCCCACTTTGGCGCACCCTGGGGACGGCAGCCCAGCTGTGCAGAAGGAATGAGGAAAGAAGGAGGGAAGGACGATGTGAAACTGCCTCCTTTTCTTCATGTCCCTCCTCTTACGTAACCCTCCTCCTCACCACCATCACCACCATCAACGACAACAGCATCAGCTTCATCAGCGGCATCGTCGTCATTACCATCAGCACCCTAATCAGCATCATCAGTACAAGCAACACTCTCACCATGATCGCGACCAACATCACCAGCGACAGTATCATCATTATCGACATAAGCATCATCGTCAGTGGCATCATCGTCAGCATCATCAGCAGCAGCATCAGCCTTATCATCATCAGCGTCAGCATCATCAGCATCATCAGCATCGTCATCATCATCATCAGCATCAGCATCAGCATCATCGTCCTCATCATCAGCATCATCATCATCGTCATCAGCATCATCATCAGCGGCATCATCATTGTAGTCGTTACCATCACGAGCATTATACTCAGCAATATCGTCAGCGGCAACATCATCAGAATCATCACCGTCGTCATCAGCAAGGCCATCTTCATCGTCGTCACCGTCGTCGTCACTACCATCCGCGTATTCCCTCTAGAAGGGCAGGCAGCTGCAGCGGGGAGTACAGCTGCTTAGGGAGGTGGGGAGACCAAGGATGCGCCTACCGAAATCAACACAATGCCTGGAGCAGCACGTGCAGGACAAGCGGACAATGTAGCTTGTCCTGGGGATGTTGCATGATGGCACGTTCCATGCAGTTCCATGGTGCGCGAGCGTGGTGCATTGCAGTCTTAGGGTTCACCATCCGTATTCCCTTCATTGTGCTGTTGGTGGCTTCGCGGGTCGTTTTGAATGACAGTCCCAGGGGCCGTCGACGGACATATGATGAGTGTTCACGATGCTGTATTGTTGGCGGTTCGCAGACGACTCCTGAACGCAAAGAATAACGACACCGCTTTCAGAGCTCTTACTTCGCAGGCGAGGGGGGAGCTGAGAAACATCATTACCATTGCTCGCGTATGTGCGCCATTGGTATTATAGGGTGAAGGTTCTCGTCCGTATCGTCGCAGCCTGGCATTGCAGTCCGCATGTTCTTCATCTGATTTGGTGTATGAGTCGTCTCGGCGCTCGAGGGGATCTAAGAGGGAAGTGGTGTGCTGTTGAATGATGAGGTTGTGTCGAAACTTGTCCGGTTCCGAATCCGATGCCTCATCTCCACTTGTTCATCGTCACATTTATCTTCAACCTGACCATCCTCATCATCAGCAGCAGCAGCCTCATTATCTTCACCATCCCTATTACCATCATCATCAGCATCACCATCGTCAGCAGCAGCAGCGGTATCGTCCACATCATCATCATCATCATCATCATCATCATCATCATCATCATCATCATCACCATCATCATCATCATCATCATCATCATCATCATCATCATCATCATCATCATCATCATCATCATCATCATCATCATCATCATCATCATCATCATCATCATCATCATCATCATCATCATCATCATCATCATCATCATCATCATAATAATAATAATAATAATAATAATAATAATAATAATAATAATAATAATAATAATAATAATCATCATCATCAGCATCACCGCCCTCAGGATCATAACAGAATCGGCATCCCTCCTCCTCCGACCCATCACCATACTCATCATGCTAAAAATACGAATTAAAGTCATGATACGAATAAGCAGAAGAAGAATAATGATGATAAGCATTACAAGGCGAGTACAAACAACAAGAAGGAGAAGAAGAGCAATAATAAAGATGAGAGTGGTAATGCTCAGAATCGCCATCATCACCATCAGCATCATCAGCAAGAGCATCATCATCATCACCACCATCATGGTCATCATCAGCATCATCATCATCATCATCATCAGTGTCATCATCATCATCATCCGCCTCCTCCTCCTCATCATCATCAGCATCATGATCATGTTCATCATCAGCAGCGGCGTCGTCGTCGTCCATATCATTCACTCCGCTCCACAGCAGCCTCTCCGTCCCAGCTCTCTCATCCCTCCCGTCCCATCCGATGCCTGCAACAAGGAGAATCAGCAGAAGCAGGAGCAGGAGGAGGAGGAAGGAGACAGGAGCCGACGGGAAAGATGAGGAAGAGGGAGAGACAGCGGAGGAAAGAGGGATAGCACGGAGGAGAGGCAGAGCACGGAGGATAGGGAGCACGACGAGGACGACGACTGGGACGACGACGACGACGACGACGACGACGACGACGACGACGACGACGCCGCCGCCTCCGTCGCCGCCGCCGTCGTCGTCGTCGTCGTCTCCGTGGCGGCCACGGCGAGGGGCAGGCACTTTGAGGCTGCAGCGGTGCTCTGAGCGCCGACCCAGGGCCCGAACCCGAGGTGACCACCGCGGGCACCGGCGGCTCTGGCACCTCTGGCGCGCGAGGGCGCTGGCACACGGCGCGGTCCCCGCGCTGCACACGGCAGTCGTTCCTCCTCCTCCTCCTCCTCCTCCTCCTCCTCCTCCTCCTCCTCGGCCTCCGCCTCCGACTCCTCCTCCGCCTCCTCCCTCCTCCTCCTCCTCCTCCTC